CCTGCTCCCGCGGGCCCGGCAGCTGCTGCTGCTGCTGCTCTGGGCTCACTCCGATGCCAGGCATGGAGCTGATCAGCTTCCTCATCTCCTGGAACTTGTTCTTCAGCTCATTCAGCACCTGGTGGACATCCTGGCTGTCTTTGTCCATGCTGCAGAGGAGAGAAAATGGAGACACTGTTCAATTCCCCTGTTGGAAAGTGAAAAGTCTGCCAGGGTGACTCTCATTTCCAGTGCAACCAGAGCTTAAACTGGAATTCAGTGGGAAACTTGCTCTTGGTACCTAACTACACACACCTAATTCACCTATCCCAATAAAATGGGCACAGATGATACACAGACTGGGGAGTCTCTGGGGCAAACTGGTTTGCTGCTGATTTCCAGCACACAATCCAGCTACCTCAGGACCTATCAATCACGTCTGCAGCTTTAACACATTGCCATGGAGCAGGATAATTCTCCCTCTGTTTGAACTGCCATATCTCTCTCTGGGGAGCCTAAGATTACATACATGTGTTATACGTAGAAACCTGGAAAAAGAAGATCTGTCTCACCCTGTGACCTGTTGCTGCTTTAATACAAAAAAAAAATCCATGCAGTCAAACAGCTTGACAGGGGAAAACAGAAACTGTTCCCCAGAAGTACCAGAGACTACCCAATGGCAGAGAAAATGGTACTCTGGAGCTTTAGAATGACTCTCTGGGGATACATACCTAATAAAAGAGAAGTGACAGCATCTTTTTTTTTTTTTTCTTTCCATTTTTTGAAGAGCAGCACAATTGGTGCTGCAGCCAACTCTGTGCTTTTTGAGGATCAGTGTTGTCTGAGGCAGCGTCTGCCCTCAAACCCTCATTAGTATCTGCCTCAGCTTTGTTAGCACCAGCCAGAAGTTTTACTGATTCCAGGCAAAAGCAAATCCCTGTTTCCAGGGTGCCTGTTAATAATGAGAGCAGGATTCTAATGGTCTTTGAAAAACCAGAAGTCTGCTCAATAGCCAGACCTAAAAATAAATCTGCTTGGCATGACCAGGGCACAGAGGTGCTTGATTATAACTTTGGGGAATCGTGACAAGTCCGAGAGCAAAACTTTTAACCAGATGGTCACTGTTGGTTTCAAAAGCCTCTTGGAACAAAATATTCATTACTCCCTTCTAGATAAAATTGCAGCTGGTTCTATAATGTCTCCCCATTATGCAGACATTATCCCCATTATCCCAGTCAGGATGGCAGTGGAAAAATACAGACACACACAGAGTCCTATGGCACTTCTGGGACAGGATGGGCTGACACTGCCTTTAATCCCCCAGAGCTGCAAGATGGCTTTGAGAGGGATGTCCTCCCTGCTCCAGGTCTCCCCAAGTCTTGTTGCCTTTTCCACACACAGAGAACTGATGGCTGCCTGAATTATTTCAGGTTTGGGTTTGTTGTTTTTTTTTTTCTCTGATGGGTGGTTTTCCTGCTGGATGGAGCCACTGGAGCCTCTTTCTTTGAGGGCATGGACAGGGAGAGGTGAGGAGGTGTGGGAAGAGGCTGCAGCTGCCAGCAGTGACACAGGATGCAATGCAATGTCCCACCAGAGGACACAGATGCACAGAAGACCTCTCTTCAGGCACAGAGCTCTTCATTCCACCAGCACAACCCACCATCAGGGGAGCCGTGTGCTGGCATCACAGCAGCAACACCAGACAAGGGGGAAGGTGCCAGCAAGCTCTGCGTGGGAAAACTTCCTCCAGACCCAAACAGCAGGAAAGAGGACACGTCCTTGAATGTAAGCAAATGTACACGCTGCATCCTCACTCCCGAGCACAGAGTCACCTTGGAGATGTGTCTTCAGGGCTGAGTCAGTGTCAAAACAGCAGGGCCGGGCTCTGCCACCAGCGGCCGAGCTAAAGGACAATGCACCTGCCATCTGTCAGGGACATGAGGCAACAGACCCTGCCTCTGTGATCCTGCCCATCCTGCAGCACTGCTCAGCATTCCCACGTCTGCTCCAGCTGCCCAGGAAATGTCATGTGTGAAGCAGAGGGAGGCAGCTGGGTGGGAGGAGTGGGTGGCTCAGTGGGACTGGGCACAAGATATCTCTAGGGGCATCTGTGGGTCACCACGACCTGCTGGGTGACAGAAAGGAATCTGGAAGGTCTGGGCCCATGGCTACTGCCCACTTTGCTTATGTACATGTAAGCACCTGGCAATGGCTTTAGCCTCACTTGTGGGGTCTGGACAGATCAGGAAGAATGGAGATCCAACTCCAGCACAACAGGGAGGCTGAGGTGTTCCCATGGCCCTTCTGTGCCTGGACCAGTGTTTCAGGGGCTTTTCAGTCCTTCCATGCCAGATGTGCTTGATACAAGTGAAACATCAGCAGGACAAAAAACAGCCTCCCTTCCTACATAAGCACACAGGAAAAGGGCAACCAGGCCCACAACCACAGCAAGGGAACTCAGGCTTCCCAAGCCATCTGCCTCACCCCAAAGCATGCCCAGGGCAGGGTACAGAGCTGGCCTGGATGGATGTTCATCAGCTGGGACCTCAGAAGCATCTCTGAACAGTTTATCTTGGGTCAGAAGTACCCCAGTTCTCAGGACACTTGTACAAGTACCTTCTACCCCTACGGATCTTGAACCAGGAAGAGAACAATTCAAGCCACACCACTGCAGAAGCCATCCTGGATTTTACAGCTCTGCAGAACTGGGCTGCACTCCTGCCCCAGCACTGTCTGTGTCCTCCGAGGCTGTTATCAGCCCAGCAGTGCAGTTATTGGGAGCAATAACCCCACACAAGTACAATGCTCCTGCTCCTGGGTGTGAAAGGTGGGGCAGGATACCTGGGCCACGGCAGCACCTGCACTGCCCCGGTGACCTGAACACCTGGGGCTGTGCCAGCTCCTCCTGACACTCCTCCCGGGAACTAATGCTGGGAGGAAAAAGGGCCAAGGAGATGCTGGGAAGTTGGACAGCATCACCAGAGGGGTGACCCCATTGCTTTGCTCTCCCCTCAAGGGCACCCGGAAGTTGTTGGCGGGTAGTGAGGGTAATTAGAAGGAGGATCCCTTTGTCCTGCTCCCCATCTAGGGGGATATTGAGGGGATACCGAGGGCTGGAGAACATCATTAAAGGGGGATCCCACTCTGCCCAGGGTGCCCCGAAGATGCCCCTTTAAGAGGGGACCCACAGCCCTGCTCCCCACCCTGAGCACCCTGAGGACGCTGGGACCCGGCAGAGCCATGAGCGGCGGAGCCGGACGAGGTACCGAGCGGGGCGGGTACCGAGCGGGGCGGGTACCG